GTTGCCAGTTGCATGGTGAACTTGACAACCGGCAACAACCATCACACCAACACCCTCGAAGACTTTTTGGTTCTGGGTCTGAGCGGGCACGGACTATCCCCTTCACCCTCGTAAACAGTTGTCCCAGAAATTGACAGCAATGCTGCGAATTAGAATTCCAAATATGATCTTTTAATAAATTCTGCAAGCGAAAGAACAGCATACTCCACTCTAGAGAGTACATGCACTCTACTCCATGTAGGTACATACTAAGTAGGTACTACTCCACATATACCGTATCTACAAAAAACTAAAATGGAGGGTGCTCAGATCGAAACAAAACTTATTATTCATGCAGTCATGAGGTGTGTACATGTACTCACATAGGTACAAGTATATTAGATGGTCTCTCATAATTCAAACTACACGTATCTTGATAACTTGACCGCGACAATATCTGCATATTTTATACCATTGCCTATGTAGTTATGGCATATGGTATTTGGGGAGACTCTAAATACCTGTTCCCTTTCAAAGTCAAGGCCGGTAAAGACATAAGCAGTTAGACTAGAAGTGCTGTGCCTGGCTCTTGTGTTGACACTAAATAAGCCGAAACCGCTACACTCCCGAGAAAATACCGTGATGGGTGCTAGTGAGCCAGTTGGTCGGGAGTGTGTGGGGCAGCAAGACCAAAAAGAAGCAAAACATGTTTTGCTATGTCCCGCCATCCCTTAAAACTTTTTCCAATAAATCTCACGATCCTCGTTCGAACTCTCCGGGACTCTCCCAAAGCCTGGGCTGTCTCTTTTCTGAGTGAGGTGGCTACTGTAGGTGCTCTTCTCTATCCATGTACCTACCTACTTGGAGTGCTCTACTTGTCTTCGGCGTCCCCTTCCGCCATCCAGATGGAGATGCTAGATCCCCTTTTAGGTCAGTTCTTGCGAAGGAGCTTATGTCGCCCCGAACGGCTCAACTCTTTCTTTCACCCTAATGATGCATGCTTTTTGGTTGGCAGCCCAATGATTTGCTCTTGTCGACAATTATTTTGAACATAGCGAGATGCCTCCAAGCAACAAAGCTCCTTCTATTGAGGAAAAAAAAAATACCTACGTGGCTCGTCTAATATCCTCTCCACCAGCTTTTCATCGTTCCTAGTAATTCCCACACTACTTAGTGAGTCAACCATTGACAGACACTTCCCGATTTCGATTCTGGTATGCCATATTGAGATCCATGCACAGTTGTAGAGTGGGGTGCATTCTTGAAGCATTATGGTAAACCGACAAATCAAGACTTTGTATTAAATTAAACAGAAGGTACAGTTTCCGGTAGAATTATTGCGAAAGTGGGTTCCCCGTGACCCGATAGTCCTATTGGCCCTTAAAAGATTTTTTCTACGAGCACAGACCAACAAAATCCACTCTTTTAGCTCTGACTTTCGCAATAATTCTACCGGAAACTGTAAATCTTCTGTGATAGGCTTGAAGCACCCAGTGTAAGGGTTCTTCAGTCAGTCTCGTGTTCGCGTGTCGGAGAAAAGACATCAGACCTGGCTTTGTCTTGACCCATGCTTTGGCTGCATCTAATCCCACGCAAACCCGAGGGTAGGCGAAGAAGCTGTCAATCAAAGCTGCAGACAAAGGTCGAACTAGACACACATACCGCTGTATTTGAGAAAATTCGTTGCGCTGCAGCAGGGGTGTTCTCTACCAAATCTTGCATATTGACGTCCAAATACTGCCTCTGGTTGGCCTATACCCCTGCTGCAGCGCAACGAATTTTCTCAAATACAGCGGTATTCATGGTAAATACCCCACAGCTACGTTCAAAAGAACGTTGAAAGAAGGAGCAGATAAACCACAAAGAGGTTTTCGGTCACTCCATGTCTCTATCGGTCCCGAGGATCGTGAACGGCGTTGCAGATCGCAGGCACAAGAAACTGTCAATTGATTCGCTGATGGATCCAATTATGGATTGGAAGTTCCCAACATGAGGGGTAGTTAAGGTAGATTCAAAACAACGTGCACTGGCCGGATCTTGGTATGTCCACAGGTCCCGGGCATGAAGCGCCTAGCAACATACCCCATAAGGGCAAGAGGTGGAAAAAAAAACCTCGACGTTGAGTGTGGTGTTCACCGGCCAATCCTATTTCCATCCATACCATTTTTCTTTTTGGCATACCAGGAAATGAACGTGATTATTATACGACACTTAAAAATCGCGATCGTTTTGTAATCGCAGTAGTGTTGTTTCCTTTTTGGATCGATATCAGTTATCTACATGACATTGGATGGGTTTAGTTGAAACAGCAAACATCCAAGGTTAAAGGGCCAATGACCGGAAATGATTTCTCTCGCTGCCTCAAATTTTGAAAGTTGGTTTCGCCGAGTTTCCGTTTTCGAGATTTCGCATTTTCGATGGGCATGGCCGGTGCGACTTGAAGTTTGAGCGGACCAATTATGCTCCGTATGCGCTCATACTGACACACGTTTAGAAGCCGCTCAAGGGTCTGTTTCTAGTAATTAAATGCTTGAACCATCAAATATGTTTTCTTCAGCCGCGCTTTGTGAAAATAAATTTCGAATTCAGATCTTTCTTTCCTAACGGAGATTCCGGGAGACAAACTGAAATTACACCCTTGAAGGTGTTGTGTGCGGCGTTTGTGTTTGTGTGTGATCGGCTGAAAGAGAAAACGTTTTTGCAGGGGCTCCTTGCAGAGCCCTATTTATATGCGTAACCGTAACTGTCTAACAGATTGCGCAGCCATGACGACCGTCAATGGCGCGGATGATCAGAGGGGGGTTCGAGTACCTTACAGGGTTATAGGAGATTCTAGAACATCTCAGGTCAAATGCTTTGCACCGTAGGGGATTCGGGTGAAAAGATCAAGCCTACGGGTGCACAAGTCTTCGTGTTTGACCAGCAGCTAGCTAAGCTTTGAAGCAGCACTCCATATCCATATCTGTACGAGTACGTCGGATCTGATAAGTCTGGGCCTCATTTAGGCATTAAGCTCATGTCACCTAAAGTAAAAGATAAGCTGTGGTACTGTATGCTTTACTGTTGATCTACTAGTTTAGAATGAAGAGTGGGTACTTTGGAGACAATACCATAATCCAGAGAAACTACTGCAGCGTGCCCGTGCGCTGTGAGATTAGTAACTCAGCATGATCGGTCGAGGAATTGGATGAGCTGTGGTTGTTTCGAGCTATCCACACGTTTTCATCTTGGAGATCGAATTGGCTGGAACCGCATACCTCCTTCCAGGCATGCAATAGGTAGTGCCCATCACGCGCAAGTGCATCTACGTACTTAATATCACTTGGTTCTGGAGCGGCGGGATCACCATTGATTGGTAGTGACGGTAATCGCTCACTGGAACTGATTATCTGTAGCGAATAGTAGGCAGAGGATAATATCTAGTAACCGATACGGTCTAGCCTGCTTCAGAAAGAATGCATCCCAATAGACAACGTACGTAAATACACACATGCCTTTTTTCTCTAACATGTGCACTTGTATCAATTATCATTACCGCCCAGTATCTGTGACTGTTTCCACGAAACTTGTTTGGGTAATTTAGGAACAGGATGCGCACTTCTACATAGCCACATGCATCAGGTTCGGAAGCACTTGATTGCGATAGGTACCTGGGTCACTGGGAATCTAGGTACATGTATCCTGCTATGAAAGGAAACGTGGTAGATCACGGCACTAGATACCTACATAAATATACCTATCGCTAGAGGAGATATCATAAGCTGAGACAAGGATAACTATACATAAAAGGTAGGTACGTATGTATAGCAGAGAGTCCACTGAGAGGCTGGGACCGATCTGAACGCGGTTCCTTAACATTGGGGGATCAAGATGGGCTGATCACGACGAACAGATTTCCTAAGCCTTGAGGATTTTTCTTTGCCACTAGAGTGATGAGATTGTGGCGTTGTTTCGGACATGTGATTCTGGACAGTGCTGGACAAGGCGCAGACAAGAAAACTGGGGCGACCAAACGATTTCATCCAAGCGTTATTCAGCACGTAACTACATACATGTAGAGGAAGCTTGCTATTATCAAATCAACCACAGAGAAACAAGTACCCGTGTCTTACCGTGGACCTTAGATTAAGTTATGGAACACTTCTTTTGTATTATTTACTGTACCCGATATTTGTGTATGTTAACTATTAGTACCTGGGATACGTGAGTCTTACAATCATAATCCATCACTCGACCATATATTCCTCCACGTTTATTTTCGCTTATAGGGTGTGCTTGCCATAATGCGTCACTTTATGTAGCAATGGCCACACGTGGAGCGTTTCGTTGTTGTGGACGCCTTCGCCGTCCTCGTTTGATGGCATTGCTCATCTGTCTTTTCCCGAGGTGTTGAAATAAACTTTTGTGTGATAGTGAGATTTCACATGAGACTCAAACCCGACCAATCCCGGAGTAAGCGGGATCCTACCAATAGAGCCTATGAACACGGACCCTACCTGCCACCGGGGAGATGATTTGCCTAGGCGGATGATTGATCCATGGGCTGCTTCCGGACTAAGATCCCTTGAAACATGCCCAGTCAACCTTTGTGTGTTCCACAGAGTGTTTTTCTAGGCCTGCCCGGGGAACATGCGGCGATAGGCGCACGTTCTAGTGCTGGTTATAGGAACAACCGTGTACATGCGCTTGGGAAGGAATTCGAGCCGGAAGTATGATTTTCAGTTCCAGTTCGATTTGGAGTGATGAACCACAGCCGACAATAGAGAGAGGGAAGGAAAAAAGAAAGACAAACGCCGCAAATGAAGGAATAGCTAAGCAACATAACCAACCAGAAACATTTTGCCAAGAATGCGGTGGCAATCCAACCAGCGTATCATGGGAATATAAAAATCCAACCGAGGCCATTAAATGAAAGTTTTACCATCAACAAATGTAGATAAAATGGGAAGGAGAGAATCTAATCAAACAAATGAATAAAAGCAATGAATAAAATAGGATAAAGTAAAATGATATAATTACAGCTACCTCCGTCCTGCGGCAGCCGCTTTCTCCTTCTTAACCTCGTTGTAGTTCATAACTTTTCGGGTGCGGAATTGTTGGGCTCGCTTGTACTTGCAGTACAGAGAAATGAAGTCCTATTGGTGGATCAACAAATACGTCAGAAAACAGAATCCCATCATGTGTGCGGCGCAGCAAACATCAAAGAAGAAACATAAATAAGATAACGTAAAGAAAGGGAATGAGAAAAACAGTATAACAACCAACATCCCTCTCGGCTCTTGCCGCACTAGCTAGATTGGCTAATTTGACCAATTCGACCAATCTGGCCTGACAGTTGATAATTCCCAATACCATTCTCAAGAAGCACGTACAACAAAAAGGGAATTTCGCAGAATCAAGTTTAAAGAATCTCTAAAAGCAACATACCTTCAAAACAACCGCTATCAAACCTCCAACAACGTTTCTTACGACTCCTTCTGGTAAGCATTTCCTTACAACATCTCCACCCCAAGCCTTGGGCCATTTCCCCAGAATGTTCTCTCCGACCATTCTGGCCACACTGGGCCATAGTAGAGCTCCCAGAATCATGTTTGTGATGTTGCTTCCCTGTACAATTATGTTGTGGTTCTCGAGGCGTACCTCACCGTCCCATCCGTTTACAACCTCTTCCCTCGGCGGAGCATTCTCAGGGCGTCTCTCCCGTTGCGCATTTGCATTGTTATTGTTCTCTGCTCGTCTTTGGTTGTTTTCTTGCTCCGAGTTTTCCAGAGCGTACGCTGGCGTTACATCTTTAATCCACCGATCCTCATAAGGCCCTATGAACCGATTCCAAAGGCTGTTGTACGATACCCTTAAATATGGTAGTAATGCTAGCGTGATGGCGGGTGATGGTGGAAATGAGATATAGAGTGGATCCGAGTGGCAGAAGAAGATCAATGGAAGAACCGGGAGTGCGGACTCGAATGTTCGTGTCCGCGAGGCCACGAGTACGAAAGGAATGAGGGGAAGACCAATGCCAAGCCCTGTATCTATTAGCTATATATCTGCATTACAGTGAACATTCAACATACTCCAGGTCCAAGAGAATTCCGAATCTGGCCCTAACAGAACCCGATTTGCGTATTCAGGTCCACAGACAGCATATATTGTATTTACTCCTATGAAGAAGGATTAGTCACTTGGACTTGAGTTCCAAAGACAAACCTGAAGGAAGTACCATAGACCGTGCAAGCTACAAATACTACCGAACCCACACCTGAATAGAACCGCAAGTAGGAGTCAGCACAAGTGCCCTAAAAATTTTGGTGTATCTATAGACAGGAGAAGCAAACCCGCAAGTATCAAGACCGGTACAGCTTTGCCTACGGCCCTACCCGCCCCCTCAACAACCTCCAATACCATGCTCCTCTTCTGCTTCAGTCGGATCTGTGTCTTACACTGCGGACAAGCAATCTTCCCCCCAGAGTTATTATTTTCTGACCTCTGGAGGTCTGCAATCCACTCAAGCAGGCAGGACTCATGAGCTATGAGGGTGCACCTGCATGGGGACTTCCAATCGCTCTTTGGTGCTTCCTCCTCGGCGTCGCTTGTATAGCATATCCAACACCGCTTCTCCTCCTCGTCTATCGTTTCTTTCTCCTTCTCTTTCTGTGGTAGTACGGAAGATTCAGATACTCGCGGGGTAAGTTGGATTAGTGAGGATGTTTGTATATCTGCAGTAGAGTCTACTGCTGCTGTAGTTGGCCTGACAAGCTCCCCCCCGGAAGCACGTCTCGGCTGTGGAACAGCCTGTAAATTCGACATGCTTTATGTATATCGCAGCCACCTAAGGATGAAGTCCAGCTGAAGAGATCTGTGAATTTCCTGATGGCGGGAAACAAGCAGGCTTGCGAGTGTTTGCTGTATGATTGAGGTCACTGGAATTCGCGTTCAGTTGTGTATGTACGGTGTCTGATAAGATGGACAAGATTAGATTTCGATGTGGCGTGAAGGCGACAACAAAGCGATTGTGTCACACCGCACGTCTAAAACAAAACTCGTGATCTGTATTTGTCTAGCAAATCTTAGACGACGAACGAGCGATAGAACGCATAATGCTTCCTTCGCGCATCCTGTTACAGCTCTATAAACCGAAGCGTCCATGGCCGCCAGACTTCTCATTACTGACACCTAAACACCAGTTCAGTCTGGAGCGACGGTATAGACGTCGTGCGAAGCTGAAGTGGGCAAGGCCAAAGCTACAAAAGTTTGTGAAGTCAATGCAATTGGGCAGTAGTGTCTGTTAGTTCCCCATTCATGTTTTATATATTTTGTTTTTCCTCTTAGTTGTGATTGACCTTGCCTCTCTTTTTGCTGGTGATCATGAACTCTAATCGCTAACGATAATGGTTGCAATAGTGGTTATATGGTATGCGGTATTCTGGGCTGACTGGGGAAATACCCATCCGTTTGGTCCAGTATGTTCTTTTCTACGCATTATCCACTCAATTTATTTTGCATCTTGCTTTGCTCATGGTAATGTTTTTACCTAGATACGCGAGTGGGCAGCGGACTTGAAGAGCTCATTCTGGTCCACTCCACCTCCACGCCCGGAGTTTTCTACCACACCAAGGGGGAGTTCCGAAAAAACCAGGTAACCATGTTTATAACCCTGGGTATCTGGTTCGGTAACTTTAGGAGCATACTTCAACGTTAATGGTCTGATGGTGGCTATTGGTATTAATATCCTGTAATAGCTCCTAAGGTTGATGAGTACTTCAGTAAATAGATCTGGATACATCATGTCGTGGAATTTACTTTGACAAAGAATGGTTTGATGAAGCATCGCATAAAAAACATATATGGAATTGGGTATGGCCAAACAAATCAATCAATCTTCGGGAAGAAAGATCGAAGGATGAGTAACTGGGTAATTCAAGTATCAGCGGGAATCCATCACTACCGTGCTAGATAATCAACTGCAATTAGTCTGAATAATGAAAAGATCATGTTGCAAAGGGTTCAATTGAAAAATTACAGTATTGTGTTACACCAGATTCGGGAATAGTCGATATTCTTGATACTCCATTTATCTTTCCCAATGAATGAGATTATTTTGAACTAGGCTCTGTACATTCTGAAAATTCTATGCTTCATCCATCAGAGGTCATAAGCTCTAATGGCCGTGGGCCTCAGGTTCAGCAAAGGTCAATTCCTCCTCAAACCAGTCCTCCTCAACGGCAGCCTCGGCCGGCTCACCGGCGGCGGCCTGCCCCTCAACCTCAACTTCCTGGGTCTCGTAAGCCTTCAACTGCTCAGCCAAAGAGGCCTCAGCCTCCTCAGGGCTCTTTGGGGCGGCGGGAAGAGCCCATTTCTTAACCTGGCCTTCGCTGTCTGAGGCCTTGGCAGTGGGGGGCTTGTAGGCTTTCAGTTCGCGGAGATATATTTCCTGGACAATATCGGCTGAAGAACACTGTCAGTTCTGATAAGTTGAGAGATAGTGAATCACAGGGGATGACTAACCCTGGCGGACAGCTGTTGGCGCGATGAATGCACGGGTGAATGTAGGCTGGCGGACCAGACAGCGGGTGAGTGAAGAGCGCTGGAGTGGCTGTTAGATTTTTATATGGCATTGAATTGGGTATCGGAGGGTATGGAGAACTTTACCGAAGCTCGGATAGACTGAACCAACATGACGGCAGAGAGCAGGTGGGATCTCAATTGAAGGCGGGGGAGAGATTTGGTGGTGAGAAATGGTGTTTCGATACAAGTTCGTTGTTTGATCGGGATTCGGGTGTTGTTGGGACGTTGCTTAGTCATACTAAAGCTTGGCGCATATTCACCCGCTATCACTCGAGGTGATTTCGAGCGTCACAATAGCAAAAATGTACATATATATTCATGATTATATGTAAAGAGCATTGTATCATATATCAAGATGTGGCTAATGTATTTGAACCGGTTAAGGTAAACCTTATGATGATATGGCATGGGGGTTGAAACATAATTACGTCCAGTGATCTGAACACTTTCTTAAATTTCATCTCTCCGAGCGAAACTCGCGCCAATACGTAACGAGATGATCATTTCACTGTGAATGCCCATCATTGATGGGAATTGTACATCTTATGTAAAGGTTCTTAGGTTCATTTATCGTATATATATCACTAGTATAGGCTGTCTGTCTGCTTGGAACGTATAATACCCCGCACCCACCGGCAATCTCGTAAAGAAAATCGAGTTTCCTAAAACTTTAAAAGCCTCCAGCAAATCTGTCTCTGGACTCTACCCGCGACGAGAAAAAAAAAAGAAAAAAAAAAGAAAAAGAGAAAAGTGGATATAGGGGATACCGCAATCTAATAAACCCACTCAATCCTATGATATGAGTTTTTTCAATCATGAAAACTTTTTTTAGCCAGGTCTCCACATCGGTACGGTCATAAGGAACCACAAACGTAGGATAGGTAAGTTACAAGAAGGTTGAAATAAATATAAGTAGGTTTCCGGGTAAAGTCTTATTTCAAGGGGGACAGAAAAGAAAGTCAAAACTCCAATTCGCCAAGTGCAGGACAGAAGATAAGGACGAATGAGACACAGGGTATCGACAAAAGAACAGGGAGCCCAAACAAAGCATAATAATACATGGCTTTTCCCTTTCACATCGAACCACCCCTTTCAGGCATTCGTATCTTCGCGTTATCAAGAAAAAGTACCAACCTTAAGATGCAAACAATCGCTAATCATCAAGTTCACCCTCCTCTAATTCACCGGACTCGTTTCTCGGAAGGGCGGGTACGGATTTTTCATCGTCAACTTTTCGCCTCGACTCGTCTCCGCTGTCTGTTCCGTTCATCACGGATAGGTCTTCATTGAGTCGGAGCTTCTTTCTAACAGCCTCATCGGGAACCTCACCCTCTTCGGTCCTGCTGCTGTCGTCCCTAGGCCTCTTCCCCCCTTCACTGCCCGATCGACTTTCAGTCCTGCTACTTCTAGACCCACTCTCGGGACTGGCATCGCTTACGGCTCTTGCCTGGGTTCTGTTATTGTCATCGCCGTTTTCGGGGGTTGCAACGTATTTGACTTCAGTTCGGAGCGGATTGTTCCTAATAAAAAAGGTCTTCATGAGTAATTCAAATTCCATTTTAAAATAAACGTGATTGTACCAGGCAGTTTTAGGTACTGCGTACTCATAGATCATAGCCATGTAATTACAGGCTTTCTTGATATCCCTAATCTTAACTCCAATGACATCCCACCATGGCCTCCCACCGTGATCAGGGAATTCTCTTTCGCAATGCTTGGCCGCACAGTAGAGGGCAGCAGCAGCGATTGTTTTGCTTGGATATAACACACATAGCATAGTGAGAGTTGAATCGTTTATGAAGGTCCATGCGATGCGAATAAGCTCGCGGTCTCGCACACCCAGACGTTTGGTGATCAGCAGAAGCATACTGTATGGGGGTTCAGTCTCTAAATCAAAACAAATTGATTCAAGTAGGTAATCCTCCTTTGTGAGGATGCAATCTTTCCATTTCCAAAACTCCTTGTCATCGCGATGCACCGGCATAGTGTGATTTTTCTGTGCCGCGCGAACACAGGCTGCGACAAGCTCGCCGAATTTGCGCATATTCTCTTCAACCTTAGTTGCGACAAAAAGAGCAGTAGCGGCAGTTTCCTGAAGTCGCAGCGTTAGAACCGTCTTCTCACGAATCGCATTGCCTGTCCCGGAGCATGAGAAAAGGAGGGACCAACATAGTAGTGGTGTTTCTTCAGCGAATTTTGCATGTAGAAACGGTGCAAGAACATGGAGGCTGTTGCGAGGGTAACTTGTGGTAACCTGAGCTGAATTCCCAATTGCACGATGAAATTACAACCCTTGCTACGTTGTTCGCGCTCTGCTTCAGGCGAGAGTCCGTCGAGAACCGAAGGAGTACGGAGTAATTCCTCCTCAGTGAATATCCACTGGCTCTCCGAGTCTGGCATTTCTGCGTAAAAGGATTTGGAGCGTGAGGGGGAGGAGGGTGGAGGGAGAGAAGATCGTTGCGGCGGAGTGCTAATGGTCATGCAAGCGTAAAGAGAGAAAGGAAAGAAAGAAAGAAAGACAGAAGGAGATATGAGACGATAGTGGGGGTGGGTGGCTCCGTGGACAAGCGGGGAGGGGGGGAGAAAAGGTGGTAATGGCTATTATTTGGGTTGTGGCGACGACAGTTATGCAGGAGGGTACCTGGAGAAGAAATAATGATTGAGAGGAAGAGAGGGTAAACGATTAATGTATTTACTGATGAGTGAAGAAGCTCGAGGAAGGAGCAAGGGAGAATAATATATGGGAATAGGGCAAGGAAGAAGAATAAGAATAGCAAGAAGGAAAAAGGTCAGGTTACAGCAAAGATGGGACGATCGAGAATTGTAATATGTTTAAATGGCGTGTGAACTACTCTAGCTAGCTAAGTATAAGTTGTACGCAATAATGATCTGTCCTCGCTGCTGTGGTAGGTGGTAAAGTAGTGGTAGCGGTAGTGGTAATAGCGGTAGTAGTAACTGCCACTGGAATGCTCAAAGTGGACGACGACAACCACCTCGAGTGAGAGTGGTGGGAGGAAAACGACTAGAGCGTGATGGATAGAACAATGGGAAGAATGGTGATGGATGGATGGATGAGTGGAAGGAAGGATGGAAAGAAAGCGTGAAAGAAGGAAAGAAAGAAAGGAAAAGAAAAAAAAGGGAATAGAAATAAATAAAGCGAACCCTCCTGGCCCGGTTCAGTATGGGAATGGATTCAACCCACCAGAAGTCTCTCACACACTTACTGTGTGTCTCTGCCCGAAACTTTCACTCCTGGCCCAGTTCTGTATGCTTACCTTGACGGATGAAGCGAGGAGTACCTTCTCGAGTACCTTCTCGAGCATCGCAGTACTCGTAAGTTCATAGCGTTTCCGAACACGACCAATATTGCATGACATACAAAAAGGTGGATTTAGCGCTTTTTATATGGTATGCAATAGCAGTCGTGTTCGGAAACGTCATGAATTTACGAGTAGGTATTGCAAGTATGTGCCTTCCTATCACCTCTGCGTGACTTGCTCACCTCCCCACCCCCGCCTGCCTAGGACCCAAACCATGCTTCAACGTAGAAAGTGTGTGGAACTTCGCCCAGACTTTTGGCTCCCGCTCGCGGCTCTTCTGTCGCCGTTGTTCCGTCGAGTCTTATTAATGCCGGCCATCGTCATCCCGATCGGTAGCAACTCCACGAACTAGTGGATCGTGATAGAGTGTGGACCGTTTCCTAGTTTACGCACATACTGATGTTCTCTGCACGATAATAATATTTCCCTCTTCTCCATACAGACCTACATGATTTATGCGGATTGTGCATACATATGTAAATAGATATGTATGTATGTAGGTTCTTTACTCGAGAATAGAGAAGAACCTGCTAGGCGCATGGCCAAGTCAGTAAATGGGATTAAAAACACCCTCATCCTACCTCCCCTAGGCCTATAGTGCTTACATGTACCTACAGGTATTGTATGTATCTACTGGTGTTAAGCTCTTCTTTTAATCCATGGCATGTTACCGAGACGAGTGCGAATCGATAATCGTTCGGGTCCTAGTAATTCCTTCAATCGTCCGAAATTGTTCCCCGGTTCTGAAACGGTGCGTTTGCAGTGGTGACCCCCTCCTCTCCGGGCAGAGCCCCAGACAGCTCACGATCAATACTGAAAAGAAAAGAAAAGAATGAGTGGACCTGACGACACGCACGTTTTGCAGGGTAAATACGTCACGGGTGCAAGAAAGTATTGTCTCCTGGACTATATTTGTTTTTTCCCCAACAAGTAGAGTTCTGAGTGGGATATAGACTCGTCTCCAAAATTTTCGATTCCTTGCTCCCTTGCAGCTTAAGCTTGTCATCCTTGAGGTAAGCTCTAAACTTCTTGGCATCAATGTGGCCTTGGCACGTGCAAGGGGGCTCTACACTAAAATCCTCGACGACATTCTAAGATTCAGTTATCAACACAGCAGTTGACCTCCAATTTATCCACCCCACACAGTTTATTACATCTTCAATACCCCACGATGGCTGCCAACAACGAGCAGTTCTATTTGCGTTACTACTCTGGGCACAACGGGAGGTTCGGGCACGAATTTCTCGGTATTTCCCTCTACCGCACGCCACCAATTGTGGTTGACAATTTCTAACAACTAAAATTATTCTAGAATTCGATTTCCGTGTTCTCGGGGATGGCCGCAGCGCGACAGCTCGATATGCCAACAACTCGAATTATCGTAATGACTCTTTGATACGCAAGGAAAGTCTGTTACCAATGATCCCCCCAAGCGGTCACACTTTGAACCAATATTGACTAGATGGAACTTTTAGTGTGCGTGAGCTCTCTCATGATCAAGGAGATCAAACGTATAATTAAAGAGAGTGAAATTATGAAGTAAATTTCCGTATAGAGCGTTCAAAGCTGTCATCAGAGTATAATTTAACCCGGGAACAACAGAGAAGACGACGCGAAATGGCCCCCAAAGAACAAGGATGGTCGTCAAGAGCTCGAGATTCGTCTCGGGAATGAACACATCTCATTCGAGGTTGGTGGATTTTTGAAGTCCTTATATCTAGTCCTGGTTGCTGATAATTATCTGCCCGACTCAAGACTGCCAAAATTGGCTCACTGGCAGATGTTCAAGAATCTGATGATCCGGAAGGTCTTCGTGTCTTTTACTACCTCGTGCAGGACCTGAAAGCACTTGTTTTCTCGCTTATTGCTCTCCACTTTAAGGTAATCACTTCCCGCTTGTTGACTATTTTTTCCAAATCCCCACCGAAAAGGTAAAGTAGTGGTTATCCATAAAACACAATGACTAAGTAATAATAGCGATATTGTTGCTCCTCTGTGTTGATTGGATTAACTGAAGCTCCTTGGTGCAGTTTTGATAGCAGTGACTGTAGGAGAATGAATAATAACGTTTGTTGGTGGATAGATTAAACCGATTTAGATGTGATGGGACTATGGCGTTAGTGTCGTGGTAGGATTCTACAGGCAGGATGTTATTTCTCCTTCTCCCAGAGTTGTACCCTTCTATTGTTGCTTTTGTTAGGCGTTCTGAATATCTTAGAGCCTTTTTTGGTTTGTCTGAACGGGTTTCCTTTCTTTTTTTCTCTCTTTTCTTTTTTTGACGTCACGACAATGACCGAGGATGGCTAGGTTTTACCAAGAAAAGAAACAATACATGTATCTATAAACAATTTGAAAGGTTAGCGGAATCAAGCTAAATTGTGCTGTGCTGTGGTACTAGCTTCACTTATCTTAGATCGTATTAGCTGATCGTGATGACCAAAATGTGCACTTCTTTAGCGTTGAATCGACTCATACGTGCCTTAGCAATATTTAAGAAGCATACATATATGTATTTACAATTGTTTAAGAGCCCAGGAGAAAGAGGAGGTAAAAACTTAAGCTATAAAATCAAAGCGCTCTTAAAACATCCTCTCTCTTCGAGTTTGTCATCATAAACCTACTCATAAAATCATCTCTACTAACATAGGCCCCGCACATCGTCCTCGACCCATCAAATGCCGCCCTTCCGTGAAGAACTCTCCAGTTATCAAATATCAACGCCTTTCCTGGCACTAACTGCTCCCAATACTCGCTCTCTCTGCGCGCGAGCACCTCATTCCAACTTCTAATTGCGTCATAAAATGCCTCAACCTCATCAGGATCATTCCATCGATCCATCGTTGCTCTATCATCGTTATTCCACCTTACTTGGAACAGCTCGCCATTGACTGGGTGGTGATTCAACACTGGGAAAGGCGCGTAAGGCTGTATCGAGATTCCATTATTCCCAGAGGAATGCGCTGGTATTCGTGTATTCGACAGAATTCTATACGAAGTAGGGTCTTCATCACGGAGGAGCTTCGCCGCACGGAAACCGTCAACTAGTAATGTTTGACCGCCAGTACCACCGGTGTGAGAGAGGAGATGGAAGAGTTGAAGACCAGCGGGACAGCTGAAATAGGTTGTGTCTGTATGTGCAGAGAGAGGGAGGCTGGTGTAAGCTGTATCTTTCGAAGCAAGATCTGATGTGAAGGACCAGAAACCTCCTGAAGGGAGTGTTATTCGTTAGCCGGCGGTTATGAAAAGCATAGAAAGAAGAAATATTGGAGAAAGATACCGTAGTGGGTATGCTGGATATGGGCTATTCGTTCGATGAGTGCTTTTGTAGCATCAGGGCTGACCGGAACCCCGTTTATATAGCAGAAGCCGTAGATGTACTGGGAATTTCTGGTTAGATTCCTTGACACCTCTTGATATAGGGCAACCCACTATCTTTCTTGTCCATTCAGCAACCCCTTTCTCCGTCTCCATTACCGATTCATATTCCACCTCAGGCGGACAGTCCGTAATTTCGGATCCCCAAAGTTTGAATCTTGGTCTCTTAGTTAGTATAATGATTCCCTACTCAAGAAATTGGTGATTTTGACACATACTGTGGCGACAAATATCTTTCGAGTCGTGGGTTGTAAGAATGTAGATGCAGCCATTCCCACGTAAAGAAACTCTTATGCCCGTTCTTCCCTGATATATACCACATAAGACATCATTCCACAGTTTTTTATCCATTAGGAAGTAAACTGAATCACTAACATGAAATTTGCATGCCTGTTTCAGTTGCCTCAACCGATTCTGGTCTAACATGGTTTGGAATCTACCGCCTGTTAGAAATACTAAATAGTTTTTAAAAAGTGCATTACTTACGGAAAATGTATTCAACAGTCGCTGTTTTGTGTCAGGGTGGAAACACTCCGGGCATTGACAATGATCCCTGATCCACAAATGTTGGCTAAGGACACTAGTTAATTATATCCAATGAATCAAGGGGTAGAAAATTATCAAGATAAAGAATCTCATACAAATGTGATGTCTTGCCCTCTTCCCACGGGACAGAGATTTTTTTGTCATCAAATAGTATCTTATGATGTTCTGACAATTTTGGTCTTGCATCGACTTTCGTGACATTATAGGTTTTTAGCGGAATATTAGTTGTGTTTTCCACGCCAAGAGGTCCCTTTAAAGGTTTCCTAATATCCGGAGATACATCTGGCTGGAGTGGCACCTGTTCGAATAGAGTTAAATATAATTGCAGGTATATATGGAGCGGAAAGGACTAGGGTTTGTGCGGGGTGGGATACACTGCTATACGGCCGGGAGTGCATAACAGCTAAAATTCCATTCAAATTCAGCGGCCAACATTTTGATCTATCCAGCAACTTCCTGTGTCGCAGATTAGCCTTCGATTATTGGTGCTCGGGAGATGGGCAGATAGCACACGGTTTCAGGAGAGATCCGAGGACACGCAGGGATGTGCGGGAAAGGTTCGCCATCGAGTGAAGCAGACTGGAGGAGCAAACGAGAAAATAAAAGAAGTGGTTTCGATGAAGTGGGTGGGGGGGGGGGGGGGGGGTTGCTATGGTAGAGCTATAGTACTTTAGTTTACTCTACCTTAGGAAGGGTACTGCATGTATGTAGGTAATAACATCCGTTGATCGCATGACCTCAGGAGCTTGGTGATCGACAAAGGAAGCGGACGGTAGCCCGATATCCGGATTCGATTTCAGCCCAGTGAATAAAAAAACATTGTAAAGTTAAACGCACGATTTCCCAATATCATCAAATGGACCAATCGATCTCTCCTATCATGTTCATACTCTGCATATTCGTAATCATAGCGGTCGTGATTGTCGACGATGCAGGGACCACAGACGGACCCGTGCACTGGGCCGCCGGGATATTTCATCCCATCTTACTTTAAAGCGAACACGATCACAGAAAGCCCAATATCTAAAGAAGTCTAGATCTAGCCACCGGGGTTAGAAAATGCGGGAACGTAGAGTACAAGTAGGTACATACATACATCTACATCAATTTGATGCACAGTTCCGCACGGTATAGGCAGGTAACAACAGATTAGAATTAGCAAATGTACTTCTGCTTAAAGTACATGTGCATACTGGGACTACAGTAATGAATCCTATAAATGAGGCTGGCGTTAGGATCTCAATCGAGCAGGCCGCCCTGTATTTGCAAATCCAGCGTCTTTGATACTGCTCGAGCTCGAAAGAGGGTTGGTGTAAAAAGCCCTCTTTATGAAGCTGATGGAATGAGTCAAATCTGGATGGGAATGAGCTTCGACATTTGGTTCAAATATCCGATCGCTCGATAAGAGGAGAAGCTTGAGCACTACATTTAGTTAGACATCATGGAATTGAGCACCGGCCGATGCAAATACATATACCTATTAGAGTAAATTCTGTAATTGAATATATACTTGTAGCCAGATACCTCTATCTACAGATCTACAAGTAGATATTTAAAAGAGTATCATAGTACCTGGAAGTTTACAAACACTATATAATACATTGGCTAGCTAATCCTGCATTGATTGATTGATTAATTGATTGATTGATAATTCATCATTTGTGTATGCAGCCAGTGCTGACACTCAGCTAATCCTGCATGGTAAACCGGCCACTTAACGAAAAAGAGACAGGCGACTAACAAGTACTACACAGGGCCGCAGAAATATTAAGACATGTCGTTTGTTGTTACAAATCGAGTGATGAACTGTGACGAGTGAGGCTCGCCTCTCTCAATTGGCAACCTTCTGGTTAGATTAGCGCCCGTTTGAGTGCAATTAGTCTCTGACTCTAGCACTAACGATATTATCAAGAGAAAGAAATCAATAAAAGCTTTTCCATGGCTGGAACGCTGTCTACTGCGTGTTTGCAAGTGGTTGGCGGTTCAATCAAACAGCCAAGCCGCAATATTATCTATATACTATCTGTGATTATCCCAGAAAATCTCGAGGTAGAGAAAGCTTATATCTACAATAACTTTGTTTATATAGATCGCTAATTTTATGTGTGCTCAAGGCAAGGAGATAGGAATAGTCATCCTTTTGGAATGGTGATAGGTACAAGACGAGACAAGACGAGACTTGGGAAAGTCTCGTCTCGTCTTTATTGTTTGGGTTGGGTCTTGAAGATCTCGGGACAATGATCTGGTCTCAAAGTCTCGAGACTTTTAGTCATGTAACTTTGTTACTCGGAAATTCCTACAATTATGTTAATGAATATAAATGAAAAGTTAATTTTTTTTCGCGACCAGGCTGAGGAGCATATTCAGGTGGGAAAAAAGTCAAAAAAGTGTGGAGAGTTAGTCTCGAGACAACTTGTCTCGTGCCCATATGCATTACTATTTTGGAACGAGACCATAGAGGCAATGACCGGTTTGAATTCTATTAGCGATTGAATTTGTTGGTGGTACACTCTGACTCGCATAGAGGAGATTCAATACTGGTAGAGGCATCATGATTCCAGAACTCCAGATATCATGGTGAGCCATAAGTGAATGTAATATGTTGTTTATTCATTGTGGGATTACTCATTGGAGCGCCAAGTTACACAAGAAGCTGCCGAGTGATATCCAATGATTTTGATGTTGTTAAAAAAAATTTTTTTTTTTTTTAATTCATTGATTATAAGCAAACCATAGTTTATGACAATATCGCACTACCCAAGATCTACTCATCTGCCTCCATCATCACTTAAAAGTAAAGAAAGGAAAGTAACTATTTAAAAATAAAATGAAGAAAATTGACTATCTTATTCTAACAAATTTGACTCTATCCCTCATTCCATTTTCTCTGCTGGGACCATATACAGCGGTGGGTAATAAGTCATCAGATGGAATTCCACCAAAATACGCGTTTTGTGAGGGATGCGTACCAGACGACAGGAGTACACTACGCAGAGTTCAGAGTTCGGCTAACAGCTACAAAGGCAGAAGTCTCCAAGGTCTCTTCAATCAACGTCGAGTATGATTCTCCTTGATCCGATACGGGTCCCGCGAGCTACGTTATCAACAAAGATTCACTAGAGTTAGCGGATGGTGTTCGTGTAACGTGGGTCTATGGACAAGAGACTATAGTGCCAAGGAATACAACCGAGGCGAGAACGTAGTAGAGTATGTTCGTGACTATGGACTATGAGATGGTTCAATCCTGATCGGAGATCCAAGATGAGCCCTATGACATAGCGTAGAACAAAAGTAATATTTGTGGAGTAGAATACAGAGGTTGGGTAAAGAAGAAAGGAAAGAAGGAAAACAGATAAAATACAAGACAACGCCCCCTTATATATCCAACCATAGTCCAATGATGACTAATACCTTCGCGTAACAGAAACAAAAAGAATATAACAGAAATCCTCATTACAAATCCTAATTCAACTACACAATACCTCCTTTCCTCGTTCCAGTTTATCACCTAACCAAAATACATAGCTGCCATTACAGACCACGCCCCCCTCTAAGGCCTACCTCCTGGTATGCTTAGGTTTCTCTGGATAACGCTCATGGAATCGTTTAACGATATCAGGTGAATGCTCAAGGTCCGATAGGGGTTGCCAGGAGGCTTCATCATATCCCATATATCATACCAAATACTCAAATCTTCCTCTTTGTTTCCTCGAATCCAAAATATTTTCGACTTCCCATTCTTCCTCTCCTTCAATTTCGACCGAAGGTGGCGGCAATTGTTGTTGTCCCGGTAAAGGATCATTCGCTTCGGGTGATAATAACGAAACATGAAATACTGGATGAATTTTCATTAACCGGGGAAGTTCCAACTCGTAAGCGTAGGGATTGACAATGCGTTTAACGCTATAAGGTCCAATACGTTTCCAGTCGAATTTCTTGGAAGGTCGCTTGGTTAGAATATGACGGGTCGATAGGAAAACTTTATCCCATAAATGGTACTGAGGAGCTGGAGTTCGATTCCTATTGGCTGATTCTTCTTATATCCTTTGTGCCCGAAACATCTCTTCTCTGAGGAAATCCACTACATCCTTCATTTCTCTTGCAATACAGTTCGCTTGATCTTCCCCCGTCGTTCGACCATGTTCCAAAGGGCCAAAAGTCATTCTTGGATTTCTTCCAGAATTGGCATAGAACGGAGAGACCTTTGTTGTTTCGGAAGCATGATTGTTTGTCGCAAATTCAGCCATTGGTACCATTCGAGCCCAATCATCCTGTTGATAGGAAACATAGCTTCGGAGGTACTGTTCCATTACGGCATTGATTCTTTCCGTTTGTCCATCTGTTTGAGGGTGAAATGCGGTGGAGAATTTTGGTGATATTTCCAACCGATCACAAAGCGATTTCCAAAATTCCGCAACAAACTGTGTTCCTCGATCAGATACAATGGTATCAGGTAATCCGTGTAGCTTTCAAACGTTATTGATATATAGCCTTGCTACTTCCTTTGAATCTACCTCTTTAGTCGTTGGTATTAGATGCCGCATTTTGGTTAGTCTATCCACCACGACCAAAATCGCATTATACCCATCACTCTCAGGAAGATCAGTCACAAAATCCATCGAGACGTCTGTCCAGGGTCCATCGGGAATTGGCATGGTGCGAAGTACTCCATAAGGTGCATTGTGTGATGCCTTGCTACGGGTACACACATTGCAATTCCTAATATACTGATCGACGAACTTCCGCATCTGTGGCCAATAATATCCTCGACTTAGGAGCTCCAGAGTCTTCGCTCTACCCGGATGTCCTGCAGATGGTTCATCATGGTATTCTTTTAAAAGCCTTAGTCGAAGGTCATCGTCGTCTGGTACATATAGCATGCCTCGATAAAGCAGCCGACCGTTATTATCTTCCGTACATTCGGCGAGCGGGATTTTGTTCGAGTGGCGTATGCTATTCCGAAGCATATTGAGGACCTTGTTTGGGAAACTATCTACTTGGTAAGCTTTTGAAAATAACTCCTCTACAGTGGACGCTCCTTCAGCGGATTCATTTGACAAAGAACCCGCGAACAAACTTAGCTTATTATCCAAATTTTTTCGCTTCAGAATCACTTGACTCTGATGCGTCAACCGTTCATCCCCCTCTTTTGGTAGGTCACCTGACCTCCTAGTCAATGCATCTGGTTTTGTTCCTTGTTTTCCTGGCCGAAATTGTATAACGAAATCGAAGCGTGAAAGAAATTCAGACCAACGGGCTTGTCGACGATTTAACAATTTTGTTGTCATAAAATATTCAAGATTCCGATGGTCGCTAAGAACTTCAATTGGAAATTGAGCTCCCTCCAGGTGATGTCGCCATTTTTCGAAACATCGTATAATTGCTAAAAGTTCTTTATCATAGATTTCGTAGTTGCATTCTGCAGGAGAATGTTTCTTGGAAAAGAAAGCGACTGGATGTAGGATTCCTTCGTTGTCCCGTTGAGATAGGATTCCTGCTGAGACATAGTCGGATGCATCGGTTTCTATCACAATTTTTCGATCCGGATTGAAATGAGCTAGGATTGGTGTCGTTGTAAACATCTTTTTCAAAGTTTGAAATGCTTCCTCCCTTTCATCCGTCCATTCTGTAACGGGGGTCCTTTCTAAGAGAAATAGATTGGTATAGAATAGAGACGGCCGTGCAAGATAGACAATCAGGTTGCAGATTATTCAAAGATACTATCGCTAGAACTCAATAATCTTTAAGGGCTCTGCTACCGATAAGAACTTGGTTTTTCTTTCTGATGAAGACTGGAGAGAATCGGACTGAAGGGCGAGAATGAACCTGAGTACTTATACTCCGAAGGCCTCTATTGTCTGCTCCTAATTCCTTTACTAAGTTCCGGTGGGCCTTCCCTCAGTACCGGAAACAATACCACCGCTACCCCGCTTTTCTCTAAGCGTCAGCAGGTGCTTCCGATACCCAAGGCAACCACCTTTAGTCAAAGCCTTTTGTAACACCTGCAGCCTTGGTTGCCACACAACCGAGGACCTGCATGAATGAGCTGCCGCTCAGGTGTAAGCTTAATCATTGCTGTAGAGCTTTCGCTTATTGTAGACTTCCCTAGCATAGTCCCTGCCCTTCAGGTGGACTTACAATGCTCCGAGGATACAGTGGATCACCGGACAATCAGAGCTTCACTCTGGCCGGTCTTCTAGACACTGGCAAGGCATAGACTCGTCAGTCATTGCTTCCATGAATAGATCCCCTTCCTAGCGCCCGGAATGTAGTTACTCTAACAGCTGGTAGCTAACCACACTGCTGGTACTTGCATATCACCGTGCAACTGGCTTCTAACAATAACTCTCAGCATGTAACCGGGCCCTGTGTGTACTCATACACCAGACAGTTGAAATGGCTCCGTTACACCACTCCCCTCTTCCAGGATCTTGGTCTCCGAGATCTATAACCATTCTATTACCATCCAATCTATATGACAAGAAACTCCGTGATATGCAAGGAAATGAAAACCCAAAGGAACAAATCTACATCCCAACAATCCGCTTGTCCTTGGGTTTCTTAGGATACCTCATATGGAAATCCCGAAGGGCTTCTTCAGCACTCTTCTTGAGATGCTCCCAAGGTTCCCATGTAGCATCCTCGTTCTCATAACCTTCCCACAGCACTAGATATTCCACTCGTCTTCTCTTCTTATTGACCCGGCTATCAGCTACCTCTCGGACAACCCAGTTCTGTTCTCCCTCAACCTCTTCGGGTTCCGGTGGGGGAACTCTTCTCTCAGGATCTTCCGGTGCTCTGTAGGGTTCTAGGAGAGAGACATGAAAGACCGGGTGGATTCCCATCTGGGGGGGAAGAGAGAGCTTGTAGGCACGGGTACCAATAGCTTCTAAGACCTTAAAGGGTCCCATCTTCTTCTGATCCAGTTTTCCCAAAGGCCGCTTTGTTTGCACATTGCGCCGGTCCAACATAACTTCATCTCCGGGCTTGATTTCAGGTGGTGCCAGGGCATGAGCATCATACCACCGGGCCATCCTTAATCTAGCTTTACCCAAGCTGGCGTTCATAGCCTGCCAGATAGATTCCCATTGAGATATCATGACCTCGCTCGCTGGATTGTTCCATTCTACTCCTCCCTTTGGGGCCGGCCAGTTGGTCCTGGGTTCGTATCCATAGTTGGCATAAAAAGCCGATACTTTGGTAGACTCAGAGACCGCCGAGTTATATGCATACTCTGCCAAAGGCAACAGCTCTGCCCAGTCATCCTGTTGATATGAACAATAACTCCGCAAGTAATGTTCCAGGGTCTGGTTAACTCTTTCTGTTTGACCGTCCGTTTGGGGGTGGAAAGAAGTGGACATCTTCAGCTTCACATTGAGGAGGCTCATGAGAGATTGCCAAAAGTGAGAGATGAACCTGCTATCTCTGTCCGAGACTATGTCATCAGGTAAACCATGGAGTCTCCAAACTTCCTTCAAGAACAACTTAGCCAAATCTTCCGTTTTATTGAGGGTAGGAAGAGGGATGTAGTGTGCCATTTTCGAAAAACGGTCCACTATTACCCAGATCTTTGTAAACCCACTAGATTCCGGTAATCCCACAATGAAGTCCATAGAGATGGAAGTCCATGGCCGATAGGGTATCTCCAACGGTTGGAGCATACCAAACTTCTTGTGTCTTGAGGTCTTATTCCTCTGGCAGCTGTCACAGCTCCGGACATATTCCTCAACATCCTTATCCATGTTGGGCCAAAAGAAGTTGTTTTTCACCCGCTCAAGTGTCTTAAATTGGCCAAAATGACCAGCCACCTTAGAGTCATGGGTATCGGACAGTATTTCCATCTGAAGCTTCTTATCTTTGGGTATATACCATCTATTCTTGTAGAAGAGGAGACCGTTCTTGACCGACAAGTTCTGGTCCAAATTTGGTTTCCTTTCAACCAGGGAGCGGTGCAATTCCTGCCAGAAACTATCCTCTTTAGCAGCCGCATATAGGCGCTCCAAGAATGTATTCTGCAATTGATTCACCCTGACAGCCGCTAGCTTTGCAGGATCCAAAACCAATTGACCTGGCCTAAAAAAGATCTGTGGCTCCGGCTGCAGAGTTTCACCTCCCTCTCCAAGGCGGTGATCCCAGCGCCTAGATAGCACATCAGTCTTGCCATTCTTTTCCCCCGGTCTGTAGACAACTTTGAAATTGTAGCCTGCGAGGTCTTCAGACCATCTAGCTTGCCGCCTAGTGAGAACCTTGGTAGAATTAAAGTACTCCAAGTTCTTGTGGTCTGTAAAAACCGTGATTTCTTGCTCACAAGATTTGAGCATGTGTTCCCATTCCCGGAAAGAGGCTACAATAGCTCCCATTTCCTTATCATGAATGTCATAGTTGATCTCAGCAGGGGAGAACTTCTTAGAATAGAATGCCACCGGATGTAGCTTCCCATCATCCCCATACTGAGAGAGCACCGCTCCCTTGGCAAAATCACTGGCATCTGTCTCAACCACCGTTCTCCTACTAGGGTCAAAATGAAGGAGGATTGGAGCGCTTGTGAACAGCCTTTTGAGTTCTTCAAAGGCCTGCTCATGTGCTGCCGTCCAATACCATTTCTTGTCTTTTTGTAGGAGGTCAGTTAATGGCTTGCAAACCTTACTGAAGCCTTCAATGAAGCGGCGATAGAAGTTTGCAAATCCGAGGAATGCCTGTACTGCCTTGATATTCTCAGGGACCGGCCATTCCTTAACTGCCTCCACCTTGTCTTCTGACATAGATACTCCTTCTTCCGAGATGTGATAGCCTAGGTATTCTACTTCTCGGACATGGAAGGATGTCTTACTGATCGAGGCACAGAGCTTAGCTTCCCTAAGCTTCTGTAGTACCTTCTTGACCAATAGCTCATGCTCTTTCTCAGTCTCCGAGTAGATGAGGATATCGTCGATATAGACAACCACTCCTTCATCCAGTAGTTCCTTTAGCACATCATTGATCATTGCCTGGAAGGCGGAGGGAGCGTTGCATAGACCAAACGGCATCACATTATACTGATACAGTCCATAGCGGGTTCTGAAAGCGGTTTTCCACTCATCACCTTCTGCTATCCTGATCAAATTGAAGCCGTTCTTCAGGTCTATCTTTGTGAAGATCTTGGCCTTGAACAACCTGTCTCTGAGCTCACTCATGATAGGCAGCGGGTACTTGTCCTTGACAGTGACCTTGTTCAATCCTCTATAGTCCACACAAATCCGCAATGTCCCATCCTTCTTAGGAATGAACAGTATGGGCGCCGCAGCAGGGCTATTAGATCTAGAGATCTTTCCTGAAGACAATTCTTTGTCCAGGTACTCTCGGAGGGCCTTCAACTCTGGAGCGGAACATGGGTACAGCGGGCCAAATGGGGGAGCGGTGCCAGGCAAGAGTTTTATTTTCAAATCATTATGGGAATGCGGCGGCATTTCCTCAATCTTCTCTTGACTGAACACATCAGCCCAATCCCGGTATAGGTGGTGTATTTTCTCAGCAATATCACCTCCGTCCTCATCATGCCATACTGAACCAACCAATTGATAGACTGTCTCTTCTTCTTCCAACATTTGATATGGAGAGATCAGTTCAATCTTGGTGGCCGCTGGGAGACAATTCTGCTTGCAGTAGTCACTTCTCCAGCTCATGGTGTTGAGTTCCCAATTGATGTCCGGATTATGTTTCCTAGCCCAACTAATTGGCAGGTAACCGGTCATTCCTTCTTCCAGTGTAGCCACCTCCCATCGGAGTGTCTCTTTATGATCTCCCATAGTCATGCGGACCGGGTGAGTGTAATACTCGCCTCCTCCCATCATGACATCTCCTTGAGCATCAAACATTGTCAGAGGTTGATCCCGCCGCACTAAGGGAATTCCATGTTTCCTGACAAAACTCTGGTTGAGGATAGCTCCTGTACAACCGGTGTCAAACAGGAAAGATCCTTGGGCGCCTTCATCTTTCCCTTTGACCGTCCATGACAGTCCTGCCTTCAGTATAGGTCTTTTTCCATGTACTGGTAAGGAGGGAAGCCTCTGTTCCAACCTTCTCTGCTTAACAGCGGTTTCCGGACTCGTTTCTCTTTGTCTTTTCAACATAGCTAATAGCTTCGGGCACTACTAAGATCAAAGATCCTTTGGTTCTATTCCCAAGTAGTAATATAGCAGATGTATTGTGTAGTAGTCTTTTTAGCAGCGGTTTTGGAAGTGTCTTGGTAACAAATGTAACTTTGGTAGAGCACTGACAGACCAGCTGTTTCGGGTCTTAAACCCATCCTCAGAGTGCTTGGAGCAATCAAATAGGCGGAAACACAATCATAATTTATTCAAGAGACACATAGAAACCGAAAAACCCAAATAAAAAGAAAACTAGTAAACATAAACTCAAACAGACACTTTTCTACCAGAGGATTTCATTGTCCGAGTCTTGCTCAGGCTGCAAAACAAAATCTTCTGTAACCTCCGGGAGTACAACAAGTGGATCCTCTGCTACTACAGCAGCCACTTTAGCCTTCTTCTGAGAGTTGGACTTGCCATTCCCTCTTTTCCGCTTTTGTACTCTCACTGCTGCCACTCGGACAACAGTAGGTTCCTTTGACCAACAATCGGTCCATTTGTGTCTGGACTTGCCGCACTATTGCACAAGTCAGTCTATGCACTCTACCAATAGGGAGTACCGGAAGGTCATACCTTCAAGCATACTTCTGCTTTCCTTCTTTCTTCTAGAATATCCCCCGGGATACCCTTCAGTTCCACCGCTTTGTCTTTAGGTCCTGGAGTCTTCTGAGGTCCGGAGGAGCTCGCAGCTTCTCTTTTCCTCTTAGGCTGCTGGTCCTTCTGAGCGGGAGGATCTTTCTTGGTCCGAGGGTGCGCTTTCTCAGCTGCCATCCCTTGGTACCTCTCATGGGTATGCCCTAATTCTCTTAGAGCAGCTATCCGCTCCATCAAGGACTTTGGCTTAGGGTTGAAAAGAGCCCAACTCATGCCTAGGTCCGGGAGAAGGGAGTTATGGATCTTGTCATCCACCAACTGACCCTCATAGCCAGTCTTCCACATCAGCTGAATAATAGTATTCAGGAAGAGATCAATTCCTCCTCGGGCTGTGTGGGTAAGAGTATTCCATTGGGCTACAGCATCATCTCGAGAGATGGCTTCACCGAAGGCAGCTCTAAAAGCATCCACAAAGGAATCCCAGCGCTTCCATCTCTGATCCAACTGCACCGGTATTCCAGCAAGACGGTTGGCGGAGGCTTGATCAATTGAATTGTGGTATGCCTCATACCATCGGATCGCTGCCTCGCCTTCCATCAAGTTGCCTGCATATCGGATCTTAACCTCCTCAGAGGTAAAGGATAGACTCTCAATGGAGAAGACGTTCTCACATTGCCGGATAAAGGTCTCCACTTGCTCCGCCTTGCCCTGGAACTTGGAAGGTGGTGGTGCCTTTGGTTCTCGAGCCCTGGTGGAAGTAGAAGGGGGAGAGGCGGCCGGAAATCGGAACTGCTGGGATATCGTAGCCAACAGATCCTTCTGCTGCCTTTCCAACTTCTTCTTGAAATATCTCCGCCAGGCTCTTCTATCACCACCTTCTGGTTCCGAGTCTGAACTGTCTGAATCTCCAGGAGCAGGAGCTTGGGCCGCAGGAGGTGGAGGGTTCTGATTCCCACCACTTCCTCCCTGTGCCTGAGCTGGAGGGGGAGCGGTGGCCACAGCAGGAGGGGCCACAGGTGCTACTGGTGCCGGGTTGCTGGCCAGTGGTGAGGTTGCTGCTGGTTGCGCAGCCCCAGACATGGTGAACCTTCCTGGGTTCCTGGCTAGCGGACTAGGAGGTCCTCGGCCTGCACCTAAGAAGAACTCTCCTTCATAGTCAAAGGATCGGTCGGCTCCTCCAAGGAGTGGATGTGTTCCACCGAAGCGGCTAGGTGGTAAGGGTGAAGCCCCCACCGCTGGCTGCACAATAGGGATAACTCTCCTAGTGGATCGGACCGGAAATGCTGCAAAGGGGCTGGTCTTCCGCTGCATTGTCCTGGTAGCTGCTCTGGAAGAGGACCTGGAGACTGAAAGTGGTGCCGGAGTTGCTGGTCTAGCCACCACCAGTCTTCCTTCATCAAGGGCTCTCTGTATCTCGGCCACAAAGTCCGGTGGAGTAGCCGGGTTTGTCCACTCAATCTCCATAGCATCGGCATTCAGCTCATCTTTCTCCACATACTTCCGGAGTTCTTCCTGAACAGAGTTGACCTCCATTCTCATGTACTCAAGAGCTTCCGCCATCAGAGCATTCTGTGCTGCCTGGCGCTCTTGTACCAGGAGTAGGGCCTGACTGCCCCGGGTCAACTGATTCTGCAGGCTGTGCTGGAGGTAGGTCTGGAGCTCTGTGAAGAACTGCTGGACGGAAATCTCGTCGGTATCCTGCCAAGCAGGCTCGCAACCGGGGATGTAGGTCTGTAAAGCGGTCCTGGGCTTCTTGACAAGCTGTGTCTGCCCGGTGGCATCAAGCTGGAGGGGCACCGGCTGCCATTCAATCTCCAGGGGCGCATCCGGAGCTGAGAGGGCGGACATTTTTGTATATAGGAAGAATAATCTGAAGGTGACTTGAGCCTTAAAGATTATCTGTAACGGGGGTCCTTTCTAAGAGAAATAGATTGGTATAGAATAGAGACGGCCGTGCAAGATAGACAATCAGGTTGCAGATTATTCAAAGATACTATCGCTAGAACTCAATAATCTTTAAGGGCTCTGCTACCGATAAGAACTTGGTTTTTCTTTCTGATGAAGACTGGAGAGAATCGGACTGAAGGGCGAGAATGAACCTGAGTACTTATACTCCGAAGGCCTCTATTGTCTGCTCCTAATTCCTTTACTAAGTTCCGGTGGGCCTTCCCTCAGTACCGGAAACAATACCACCGCTACCCCGCTTTTCTCTAAGCGTCAGCAGGTGCTTCCGATACCCAAGGCAACCACCTTTAGTCAAAGCCTTTTGTAACACCTGCAGCCTTGGTTGCCACACAACCGAGGACCTGCATGAATGAGCTGCCGCTCAGGTGTAAGCTTAATCATTGCTGTAGAGCTTTCGCTTATTGTAGACTTCCCTAGCATAGTCCCTGCCCTTCAGGTGGACTTACAATGCTCCGAGGATACAGTGGATCACCGGACAATCAGAGCTTCACTCTGGCCGGTCTTCTAGACACTGGCAAGGCATAGACTCGTCAGTCATTGCTTCCATGAATAGATCCCCTTCCTAGCGCCCGGAATGTAGTTACTCTAACAGCTGGTAGCTAACCACACTGCCGGTACTTGCATATCACCGTGCAACTGGCTTCTAACAATAACTCTCAGCATGTAACCGGGCCCTGTGTGTACTCATACACCAGACAGTTGAAATGGCTCCGTTACACATTCAAACTTAACATTCTTTTTCGTCAAGGCTGTAAGTGGGGCAACAATTTTTGAATATCCTAGAATAAATCGTCGATAGAAATTTGCAAATCCTAAAAATACTTGAACATCACGAAGGTTTGTCGGTGTGGTCCATTCTAAAACATCGATAACTTTCTTTGGGTCCATTCTATTTCCATTCGGAGGAAGGATTAAACCAAGATATTTCGTTTCCTGAACCATAAATTCACATTTTTCAGGTTTAAGGTGAACATGATTCTCATCAAGTACCTTTAAAACCTTTTGAATGTGTTCTTTATGTTCTGATAAAGTTTCGGAATAGATAAGGATATCGTCTAAGTATGCTGTTACGAATTGATCGAGATAGGGACGTAAAATATCATTGATCCAATGTTGAAATGTAGCAGGTGCATTAGCTAATCCAAATGGCATTACTGTATATTCGAAATGTCCATATCGAGTCCGGAATGCCGTTTTCCATTCATCTCCCTCCGCTATCCTGATTTGATTATATCCCCAACGTAAATCCAACTTGGTATAGTATTGTGCTCTTGACAGCTTAGCCAGGGTTTCCTTTAACAATGGTAATGGATATCGATTTCTGATTGTGATCGCATTTAGGCCTCGATAGTCAACACAAAGTCGAAGAGTTCCATCGCTTTTCTTTACGAACAGTATGGGTGCTCCCGCTGGCGATTCACTAGCCCGAATAAATCCTTTAGGTAAATTTTCGTCAAGATATTCCCGTAGTGCCTTTAACTTGATTTGCGATAATCTATATATAGGTCCATATGGTGGTCGTTTACTTTCTTCCAATACTATTTCGATATCGTGAGAAGATCGGTGTGGTGGAAGAATTGAAGCATCGTATTCTTTAAACATATGGAGACGATGGTGGAATTCCTTTGGCACTAGTTGTTCAATGTTGACAGTGGATTTTTCAGTTGCTGAAACGATGACCGTATGGTGTTCCGGTAAGGGAATCGAGATACCATGAACAATAACTGCAGTTCCATTGAGTGAACAGTATTGACAACAGCTTCGAGAGTCAAAAACAAGTAGATTCTCTTTCGGTCGAATCGTAACATCATGTCGTCGCATCCAAGGTATCCCCATCACAATCGGATAGTGTCCTAACTTCGTTACAAAACATGGCGCAACTTCCCGATGACCATGAATGTCTAGCGAGACATCGACAATATGGGTAATTTTTCCTGACTTAATAGGCCTTCCATCTATAACGTCTACATGGCGAGGTGTTTTAAGGGGGGTCATTATAAGATTGTTGTGGCGTACAAAAGATTCATCAATAAAAGCATATCCTGATGCTCCGGTATCAATAAGGGCGTAGGTAGGTATGAAAGACTTTTTATTCTGTGAAATCGAACAACTTACTACAAGTTGATTTCCATCCATTTCCTCCTCTGATACCGAAAAACCAGAAATACACATTCTAGAAAAATCCTTGAATGGTCCCTGGGCTAAGCCACTTAGTGCAGGGACAAATCTTTTACCGACTCGTTATCACTCCCGCCATTTTCTTCCACCGTCAACGCCACTCCTCTCATCACAGGCCTCCTTGGTTGATTTCCAGTTGCCCTCGCTTGGGGGCAATCTCTAACCATATGTCCAACACCGCCGCAATAGAAACATCGGCCCTCAACTAAGTGGGCATTTCTTTCGGCAGGGGTGGGGCGACGACGTCCTCCAGATAGATCCCTTGGTACGTCACCTCCTGGGCGGAACGAGGGATGATTTTCAGTAGCAGGTGCATTGGCGACCGGGGCGGCAACACGAGGAGCAGGAACAGGATTTGCTGGTAGGGGACGAGGGGCCGGAGTAGTAGTCCAAGGTTTTTTATTCCCTCGTTTAGCTTCTGCCGCTCGACGACGATTATCCAATCGTTGCAAAAGTGTCGCACAGGCATCTACCGTCGCAGGAGTGTCATGATGTATCATTGATTCATCGAGTTCCCCGTTAATACCTTCCATCAAAGCCTCAATCCGAGAGACTTCATCCATACCCGACTCAGCAGCATACCGTTGAAATTCAGCGAAGTAATCAGCGAAAGTTCGAGTACATTGTCTGATATTCCGGAGATTTCTCCAGCCATACGCATTCGATCGGGGTCCCCAAAAGCTGTATCTAGAATTTCATAAAACCGCGTCATAGAAGGTAAGGCAATACCTTCTTCTCCCATATACTGTAAGAACTGATTGGCAGCAGCGCCTTCCAATCTGCTGAACGCATACGATAACTTAGACTGTAGTGTAGGATAGCAATCTGTATTTCCTAATAGCTAGAGTTTCATTTGTTGCTTGAATAAGTGTAGTCTTTCTCGGTCGCGATCCCCCCTGAACACGTCGGGGTCTGGGAGTTTCTCCGACCGATAGGTGGTACCTGTAACTGGTGGTGCTAGGGGTACAGGTGGAGCATTGTTTCCAATAGGTTCTTCGTCAGGGGCCACAACCTCAACAGCAGTTCGTTGAGCTCGGGCAGCAGTAAGATCTCTGTGAGGGATGCGTACCAGACCACAAGAGTACACTACGCAGAGCTCAGAGTTCGGCTAACAGCTACAAAGGTAGAAGTCTCCAAGGTCTCTTCAGTCAATCATCGAGTATGAATCTCCTTGATCCGATACGGGCCCCGCGAGCTACGTTATCAACAAAGATTCACTAGAGTTAGCGTATAGGATTCGACCGTCTTCGAGGTAATAGTTCAGGTAGAGTTCGAAGTCACGATAGAGTAAAGTATTTCCAAAAGTATAGTCAAATAAAGTTGTAACTCGCGTATCAACGATTTATATTGTTAAGACTCTGATTTCGCCGATGATGGTTTGGCTAGTCAGTGAATGACACAGTATTTATATCCCTCGCTTATTTCTCCAGGACCCAATCTACTAATAATACAGAATACACTCGGGGCATGCCCGAGACCCTGAAAAACAACCAAGAACATTTAACTCCTAAATCCGTAACCCAAACTCCTAAACCCGCTGAAACCCCTCAACCTATTTATCCACTCTAATGCACGTTTCCCTGTCGATGTTTCTTCTCCATCGGCCGTCTGGTGGATAATCGTCAGCGTCGGCTATTCGGAGGTCTCGGACGGCAAGGCTACCTACTCAGGCCTCTTCCCACATCGCTTTCCCACATCGCAGAGTCCTCTCATGCCCACAGGTACCGCCGATAGGTACTCGGTCGGCTGGCAGCTTGCGCCGATTCGCTCCGAGCGGTCCGATCTTCGATCCGATTGATTCCAGCTGTCCCTCATATATCCACCGGTACCAAAACACTCCCCTCCGGCGGTTTGACGCTGCGGGAGTTATTATTGGGGTCGAAAACGTGTTTTTTAACTAGGAAAACCGCGACTCCGCATTTGGTCGCATATCGATCGCACCACACCTCGTGGGTGCGAACCGGAGTTGATAGTGATGTTGCCATTAGTGTACAGAGGGTATTGGGGTATCTACTAGCCTTTCTCTCACTCCCGTAAATGCTTGGCATGCCCGTAACAGTTTATCCCCCTTCCAGAGTGTCACGTCTCGGGACATCTTCTGACAGACTATGGTTCCAGTAAACCTGCTCCACATATCACCTGCGGTGTCTGTGGAGGGGAAGGACTTAGCCCCGTAGGGTACCTCTATAGTCTCAGGCGTTGGTCCTTCACGGCCTTGGGGTTCCTTCGATGAAAGTCGCGGACTAGATCAAGTACGTCTTCATTCACAACGTCCATGACTTGGTAAGTACAGTCGCTCATCGAATAGCCCCGCCATTTCACCAGGTATTCCACTAATCCTCTTCTACTCTTCCGGCTTCCCACAATACTTTCCACTTCATACAAAACCTCTCCTTCCTTATCGACCTCTTCGGGAGTCGGGGGACGCTGTTCGCGGCCTGGGATACTGCTCTGTCGGTAACGTTCCAAAAGTTCGATGTGGAACACTGTGAGGGATGCGTACCAGACCACAAGAGTACACTACGCAGAGCTCAGAGTTCGGCTAACAGCTACAAAGGTAGAAGTCTCCAAGGTCTCTTCAGTCAACGTCGGGTATGATTCTCCTTGATCCGATACGGGCCCCGCGAGCTACGTTATCAACAAAGATTCACTAGAGTTAGCGTATGATGTTCGACCGTCTTCGACGTAATAGTTCAGGTAGAGTTCGAAGTCACGATAGAGTAAAGTAATTCCAAAAGTATAGTCAAATAAAGTTGTAACTCGCGTATCAACGATTTATATTGTTAAGACTCTGATTTCGCCGATGATGGTTTGGCTAGTCAGTAAATGACACAGTATTTATATCCCTCGCTTATGTCTCGAGGACCCAGTCTACTAATAATACAGAATACACTCGGGGCCTACATGAGAACCTGAAAAACAACCAAGAACATTTAACTCCTAAGTCCGTAACCCAAACTCCTAAAGCCGCTGAAACCCCTCAACCTATTTATCCACTCTAATGCACGTTTCCCTGTCGATGTTTCTTCCCCATCGGCCGTCTGGTGGATAATCGTCAGCGTCGGCTATTCGGAGGTCTCGGACGGCAAGACTACCTACTCAGGCCTCTTCCCACATCGCTTTCCCACATAGCAGAGTCTTCTCATGCCCACAGGTACCGCCGATAGGTACTCGGTCGGCTGGCAACTTGCGCCGATTCAATCCGAGTGGTCCGATCTTCGATCCGATTGATTCCAGCTGTCCCTCATATATCCACCGGTACCAAAACACTCCCCTCCGGTGGTTTAACGCTCCGGGGGTTGTTATTGGGGTCGAAAATGTATTTTTTAACTAGGAAAACCGCAACTCCGCATTTGGTCGCATATCGATCGCACCGTACCTCGTAGGTGCGAACCGGAGTTGATAGTGGTGTTGCCATTAGTATTAAAGGGTATAGGGGTATCTACTAGCCTTTCTCTCACTCCGTAAATGCTTGGCATGCCCGTAACAAAGATGTTGGGGAAAGCGGAGTCGAAAGGAAGGGAGTCGAACAATGGTCGGAACTCGCGGCAGAAGGAGAAGGGGTTTAAGATCAAGGGGAGGGCTCAGACTGAGGAGAAGGAAAAAGGGCAAGATGAGAAGAGCACCAGCAAGAACAAGTCGGGGAATAAGCCAATATACCACGACTACGACGAAGCCACCAAAGGAGTTCCACAGCCGGTCCGAGAACAGCGAAAGACCGATGGAGCCTGTGTGCGATGTGGCCGAAAGGGTCATCTTTGGAAATGGTGTCGTTCAGATGCTAACAGCAGTGCATCTATCTCCTCTTTCTCCCGAAAGCGTACCCGCGATGACGATGGCGACCACGATATGGAACCACCGGAACTCCAACCTCAGAGAAAGCGCATGAGGCACCGTGCTAGGAAGCCGGCTGCTACGGCTGCGGCAGAATACACTGGTGGGCAAGCGTTTGTGCGAGAACGCGGATCGGAATCTGAGATGGATTTCGACGAGGATTTTTAAAAGGGGACTCTGATGAGTCAGGTCAGGAGTATCCCCAGATTGCTATGTTATCACTGACGGAAAACAATAAAAAAAATATGAAAAGAAAAAGGCAGGAAGGGAGAGCGCCCCAACTGGAGAAAAAACAGAAAATTTTGGAGGAACCTATTCATGGTCCTCGACCTATCGTTAATCAGCTCCTTTGTTTTGCGAAAAAATGTTTACCTTGTAAGGTGTTGTTGGATACTGGTGCAACTGGTCCTGTTTTGTCTGCTGTTTTTGTTGATAGTTTTGAGGTCCCGAAGGTGAAACGAGACGTCCCGGCCCGGGTATTTGGATTTACGGGAGAAGTTATGAAGGGCACGGGACACGCCTTTACACAACCATTAATTATAATGTCAAGGGGGCATCAAACACAGTTGTCATTCGAGATCGCCCCTCTCCCACTTGGCATCGATGCAATATTACCAAACTGGTGGTTGAAAGAACACAAGCCGGTTATAGGAGCAAATGGAGAAGTTTCCTACGATGGCGAGAACTGTAAGAGTCAATGCTTCACTGACAAGGAACCTCAAATAGAAATGGACGAGGGTGTACTGGACGATCCGGAGGCCCAATTCATCGGTAGCATCTGTCTCTTGGAAGATGAATCGGTTAACCTCCGTGAGACCCTTCCCTCTTGGCTCCACGGGTTCCTTAAAGTCTTCCTATCATCGGAAGCCGACAAATTACCACCGCATCGATCTTACGACCATGCGATAGATCTCGAACAAGGGAAACAGCCACCATGGGGACCCGTCTACTCCCTATCCGAAGTTGAGCTGAAGGTGCTTCGGGAGTACCTGGACAAAATGTTGCGATTGGGAAAGATTAGGCCGAGCAAATCCCCAGCAGGAGCCCCAATCCTATTTGTGAAGAAGAAGGACGGTAGTCTACGACTTTGCGTTGACTACCGTGGACTTAACCGTGTGTCCATTAAGAACAGGTATCCGTTACCGCTTATGGACGAGCTGCGAGATCCAGTGGCAGGCGCGGTTATCTTCTCGAAGATTGACCTGAAGGAAGGTTACAACCTTATCAGGATCAAAGACGGCGACGAGTGGAAGACAGCCTTTCGTACGCGGTATGGGCATTTTGAGTACCTCGTCATGCCTTTTGGGCTGGCAAATGCGCCGGCGACCTTCCAGAACATGATGAATGATGCGCTGAGGGAATTTTTGGATCAAGGGGTAGTAGTATACCTTGATGATATCCTAATATATAGCAAGTCTCGAGAGGAACACAGGGAGCTGGTTGGCAAAGTACTTAGCAGGCTACAAGAATACAACCTGGTCGCCAACCCGAAGAAATCATTCTTCGAGCTCACCGAAATCGAGTTCCTCGGATACATCCTTGCCCCAGCAGGCGTCACCATGGCACTGGATAAGGTCATATCTGTTACGAATTGGCTAGCCCCGCGCAGTGTTAAAGAAGTACAGATCTTCATGGGCTTTGCCAACTTCTACAGAAGGTTTATCCACAATTTCTCCGGGGTCTGTAAACCCATTACCGATTGTCTCAGGGGTGATGCTAAGAACTTTGTCTGGTCTATGACGGCCCAAGCAGCCTTCGAAAAACTCAAAACCCTGTTTACGTCTGCGCCGATCTTGGTACACTTCTCTCCAGATCGCCAGACTATCGTGGAAACGGACGCAAGTGATTTTGCTATCGCCGCAATTCTATCCCAGGTTATTGACGGAAAGACTCACCCTGTTGCCTTTTATTCTCGAAAACTTAACCCAGCGGAACTCAACTACGACGTCTGGGATAAGGAGATGCTAGGAATTGTGTCGGCCTTCAAGCAATGGCGTCACTACATCGAAGGACCTAGCCGAACGGTTCTCGTTTATACGGATCACAAGAACTTAGAGTACTTCTCTACAACCAAGGTTCTTAATCGACGACAGGCAAGGTGGGCTGAGTCTTTGGCGGAATTTGACTTCAAGATTATTTACTGCCCGGGAACCAAAAATGGGAAGGCAGATGCACTATCGCGACGGCCGGAGTACCGTCCTGAAGGGGGAGGCACGCTTGGGAAACAGCCGATAGATAGGTTCTTTAAGCCCGGACAGTTGGCGGAGGAAGAGTTTGTGGTATCAGCGGTGTCGCTTGCCTCCAAGGGGGTGATTGACTGGTCTAAGAACTTTCTGGATCATGTCAGGCAGGCGGCATCGGGAGACCCGACATGGGTAGGATTGAAAGAGAGAGTTGAGAAGGGAGAGAAGCTGGGGGAAATAAAGGATATCGCTGAGAAAGACGGGCTACTCTTCTATAAGAACCGACTCTATATTCCGGCAGACGACCGCATTAAGATCCGAATCGCACAGGCAGAACACGATTCGAAGGTGGCAGGACACTTTGGACAAGATAAAACTTTGGAACTCATCACGCGCAACTTCTATTCGCCAAAAATGAACGAGTGGATTGATGATTACGTTCGGTCATGTGACGAGTGCCAGCGCAACAAACCCAGCCGCCATAAGAAATACGGCGCGCTTCTACCACTGTCCACGCCTCATTCTGTCTGGCAATCGATATCAATGGACTTCGTCGTGCAGTTACCGGAATCAAAGGGCTACAACCAAATTTGGGTAGTAGTCGATAGGTTCTCAAAGATGTCGCATTTTATCCCCCTAGTAGCAGAAACGACCGCGCAGGATTTAGCGAAGATATTCCTCGGTCAAATCTGGCGACTCCATGGGCTGCCTCTTGATATAGTTTCCGACAGGGACGCCAAGTTTACTTCAAGCTTTTGGGCATCCCTTATGGAATTATTGGACGTGAGGATAAGAATGAGTACGGCTTTCCACCCTCAGACCGATGGGCAAACAGAGCGGGTTAATCAAACCCTCGAGCACTACCTACGAGCGTTCTGTAACTATGAGCAAGATGATTGGGCAGAGCTATTCCCGTTGGCGGAGTATGCTTACAACAACTCGGTTACCACCGCCACGGGCCAATCTCCGTTCTATACCAATTACGGTTACAACCCAAGAACCAACTGGCCGACGGAAGCCGAAGTGGTCAACCCAACCAGTGACCTGTACGCTCACTTCATTCGAGGAGTTCATGACTCTGCTCTCGCTCGTTTAACAGACACCAGGGAGAAGATGGGGAAATACTATGATCGGAAAAGGGACGAACCGCCGAACTTTAAGATAGGCGACATGGTCATGCTCAATGCGGCCAATATTAAGACCCGTTGCTCCACCAAAAAGCTCGATCATAAGAAACTCGGCCCGTTCAAAATTATCCGACTAGCCGGAAAACGAGCCTGTGAATTGGAACTGCCACCACAAGTCAAAATTCATAACGTGTTCCATATCGAACTCTTGGAACGGTATCGACAGAGCAGTATCCCAGGCCGTGAACAACGTCCCCCGACTCCCGAAGAGGTCGATAAGGAAGGAGAGGTCCTGTATGAAGTGGAAAGTATTGTGGGAAGCCGGAAGAGTAGAAAAGGATTAGTGGAATACCTGGTGAAATGGCGGGGCTATTCGATGAGCGACTGCACTTACCAAGTCATGGACGTTATGGACGAAGGCGTACTTGATCTAGTCCGCGACTTTCATCGAAGGAACCCCAAGGCTGTGAAGGACCAACGCCTGAGACTATAGAGGTACCCCACGGGGCTAAGTCCTTCCCCTCCACAGACACCACGGGTGATATGTGGAGCAGGTTTACTGGAACCATAGTCTGTCAGAAGATGTCCCGAGACGTGACACCCTGGAAGGGGGGTAAGCTGTTACGGGCATGCCAAGCATTTACGGGAGTGAGAGAAAGGCTAGTAGATACCCCAATACTCTTTGATACTAATGTCAACACCACTATCAACTCCGGTTCGCACCCACGAGGTGTGGTGCGATCGATATGCGACTAAATGCGGAGTTGCGGTTTTCCTAGTTAAAAAATACGTTTTCGACCCCAATAACAACCCCCGGAGCGGCAAACCGCCGGAGGGGTGTGTTTTGGTATCGGTGGATATATGAGGGACAGCTGGAATCAATCGGATCGAAGATCGGACCGCTCGGAGCGAATCGGCGCAAGCTGCCAGCCGACCGAGTACCTATCGGCGGTACCTGTGGGCATGAGAGGACTCTGCTATGTGGGAAAGCGATGTGGGAAGAGGTCTGAGTAGGTAGCCTTGCCGTCCGAGACCTCCGAATAGCCGACGCTGACGATTATCCACCAGACGGCCGATGGAGAAGAAATATCGACAGGGAAACGTGCATTAGAGTGGATAAATAGGTTGAGGGGTTCTAGCGGATTTAGGAGTTTGGGTTATGGACTTAGGAGTTAAATGTTCTTGGTTGTTTTTCAGGGTCTCGGGCATGCCCCGAGTGTATTCTGTATTATTAGTAGACTGGGTCCTCGAGACATAAGCGAGGGATATAAATACTGTGTCATTTACTGACTAGCCAAACCATCATCGGCGAAATCAGAGTCTTAACAATATAAATCGTTGATACGCGAGTTACAACTTTATTTGACTATACTTTTGGAATTACTTTACTCTATCGTGACTTCGAACTCTACCTGAACTATTACGTCGAAGACGGTCGAACATCATACGCTAACTCTAGTGAATCTTTGTTGATAACGTAGCTCGCGGGGCCCGTATCGGATCAAGGAGAATCATACCCGACGTTGACTGAAGAGACCTTGGAGACTTCTACCTTTGTAGCTGTTAGCCGAACTCTGAGCTCTGCGTAGTGTACTCTTGTGGTCTGGTACGCATCCCTCACAATCTTCATCTGCTCTTGATAAGCCTCGTGAGCCTTGCCGGCTTGTTCCAACTGTTGGATGTACTCGGAGTCGTCATCGGTTGGATCGAAGCGTGAGTGGCTCTCCCGGATTTTATTTGGTAGCCCTTGGAGCTGAGCGGCGCGATAGGATGCTCCTTTCATTTGAGCATGCTGGTTCATGATCTCCATTCTCATCAGGTAGTCCCCGATGTTGGCAGAGTACTTAAACTGCTGCAT